CAGGGGATCCAGAGAGAAGACTTGTTTTTTGCCATTGGTATCTTAGCTTCTGTCGCCAAAATGTAAATAACTTTCGTTATTTTTTATGGACAGATGAATCAAATTTTTCAAATTCTGGAATGTTTAATAGAAAAAACCACCATTATTGGTCAAGAGAAAATCTTTTGTTAGTACATCCAAGAGGCCCACAAGTCCGTTTCAGTTTCAACGTTTGGTGCGGTATAATTGGTTCAAAAATTGTTGGCCCGTTCTTTTATGAGGGAACCCTAACTGGTGAAAGATATGTGGAATTTATGTCAGAAATTCTGACTAATTTCTTAGACGAATTGGATCTTATAAGTAGACATCATCTGCATTTTCAGCAAGATGGCGCACCTGCCCACAACTCCAGAGGTACTTATCATTTTCTAAGTACTACTTTTAATGATCAGTGGATAGGAACAAATGGCCCAATACAGTGGCCTCCCAGATCACCAGATCTAAACCCACTTGATTACTTCTTGTGGGGTTACTTAAAGAACCAAATTTACAAGCGAAGGTACGATAACCTTGACGCGTTAAAGACTGCAGTTAGGGAAAAGATAACCCAGATAGATGGTAGGACCATACTTAAGACAGTTCGAACAGTTGAAAAACGTGCCCAAAAATGTATTGAAGAACAAGGTGGTGTTTTCGAGCAACTTCTTTAAAAAAAAATTGTTATTGTATTTTGTAAGATTATAAGTTGATGTTGAAAATAAAGTTTGTCGATACAATTTAATTGTTTCAGATTGGAGGCCATAACTTCAACAATTTGTAACCTAGGAGAAAAGTTATTGTAAGCTTTTTTGTTTAAAATTTGATGCTTTAACAGAAAAAAATATAGTATACAGGGGTTTCCATTTAAAAAAATGTTATTTTACTGAAAAAAATCAAAATAACGACTCTCAATTGTTTTTTTTTATTTCTCATTTTTACCAGCGTTAAAAATGCTACTAGTTTGCTAATTCAAACAACTTTGTATTTTCACCAATAACAAAGTTACTAATGGTGGACACTTAATTTGGATAACCCTGTATAATATTATAAATGAGAAGGTGTGGATGTTTGTTACTCAATAACGCAAAATTGGCTGAGTTGATCTGGATGAAATTTGGTATAGAGATGGATTGTAGTCTGGAATAGCACGTAAGCTACTTTTAATCCTGAGAAATGACTCTCACTTTCGAGGTCAATAGAGGCTAGATTGCACATTTCTTCCTCGATCTATCCGCTTCTCAATAGGTTGCTTGATTGTGAAGATGCCATCTGTACGTGATCGATCCGCCTTGAGGCCATTCTGTTCTTCGGCTTCTTTCACTTATTCTTCAATAGTATGTTTCAACACACGTCAATATGCCTTAGCTATTGAACACATTACGCTCATGCCCCTATAGTTCCTTTCTTATTAGCCGGGGATATCACTGCCTCTGTCCAGTCCGTTGGTGTGGATTATCACCATCTACGCATTTCGTGAAAATGACTGCCAAGATTTCTGTCAGAAGATGAGATGCTGCTCCAGTCAGTTTTTAGTATTCTTGTATTTTGTTGTACGTCATGTGGAGTTATTATTTCTTGACCTAATAGTTCTTCTTTTTGGTTTCAGTTAAAAGCTGTTGGAAGTAGTTGTTCCAATCTTGTATACTGTTAAGGCTTATTCCCGCTGGGTTCTTGTTCTGTTCTTTCTCTTTCCCAGTCCATGGATAGCCTTCCAAGCCTTATTCGATCTTGTGTTTCTAGAAGGTATAACATATATTCATCGCATTTACTTCGTGCACTTACTGTATTTATTGCATTTTATCTTAAATGCGAAAGTATATCTGTTTGTACGTATGGTTTCACGCCAAAACGGCTGAACGGGTGTTAATGAACTTTAGCATAGATATAGATTAGATCTTGAAGACGTACCATTTTTTTGCAAATATAAGTCTTGAGGGGGTTGAAATAAGGGAAAGCTATTATTCTTGTAGATATTGTTAAAGTTAGAGATGCAAGTATTGGTTTTGTATAATTGGTATAATCTGAATGGGCACATACAGAGAAGTTTTAAAAATTCAACTGCTAAGAGGTAAAGTGGCTGAGGAACCTAAAATAGTTCAGGTAGCCTACAGTAGATGTCAGCTATGAACGGATTGCGCAATAGCGTCGTATTATGGGGGTTAAAGGGAACAAGGGAGCTTGTTTGAAAATCTGGCTAAGATAGCTAAAATTGGCAATACTCTGAAGATAGTTTAGACTTAAACTGAGAATGTATTTTATGACTTGTGCGAAAAGGGCTTTATTGGCAGTCCTAGTGAAAAAAATACGACACGACATCTCAATGTAGCGAGTAATACAAAATAAAAACTTTACACTTTGTTTCCTGTTAGTTGTATTTTTTCTGCATCTGTTTTGTAATGTTGGAATTCAGATATTTCAAAAATACTTAGTCGAAATGAATGTAGGATACCACTTCTATTAAGTGTCGTCGATCTTTTACACTAAACAAAAAACACAGATCCGCTTTAGCAGTTGTGACAGTAAATATCGAGATTAGAGGCTGTAACCTGTGATACTTACATACCACGTTGAAAGATGGAGTATAACAGTATTACTAATCCTTAAGAACTCCCGATTCCCTTTTTATGCCTATATCACAAAACCAGCTTAAGATTTCGATATTTGAGATTGAATGCTTGTGTCTCATTAACGAGTGTCACTTTACTATAGCATACATGGCTTAATATCATTAGTTTTACGAGTTTAATCTAGAACTAGTGCTTGAACAATCTACCTAGTCTCTTATCCTTCACTAACAGGCATAAATGAAAGCGAAGATACGTTGACTGAATTATGTTCACTAAAAAAGTCCTTGCATCGCCTGTGGTTGTCTATCCAGATAAAGCGGCTCGCTTAAGAGCTACTTATTCAGCGCGGCAAAGTTTCACAAGTTGCCCAAAGATAACAATGGCAATTAAAAAGCTGTTTGTCACAGCAGCAGCGGAAGTTTCGACATGGGCGAATATTGTGCGTTCTGAGCTTAGAAACATGTCATAAACGCAGAAAGTGCGACAACCGTGCTATAAATAAGATTAGCTGAGATTTTAGTATGAACTTGTGAAGACATCGTCCCATAGTTCACATTCCTCGGCCTGAGCATGGCAGCGTTCACCGCATTACGTTATGGTAGAAAATACTTGTCCGGTAATATTTGTGTGTTACCTCATTTAGAGATTGATGTCTTGGAAAGTTAGAGTGCTTACAATAACGATAGTACAATCTAATTAAGTCTTTACGTGCAAAAGTTAGAAGAGGAAAGTTACTACATGAAAAAATGAGATAACACAAGACTGCATCCGTTCCTTGCTTTGAATAAAACAGTCAAAGATACCCAAAAACAGCAGTTTTCTTTTATTTTCTAAATTAAAAAAATATTTAATACTGTAGGCTTTTATGACAGGCATACGCAGACCAAGTCAACGTCAATCAATACTTTAAAAAAAAGTTATTGCAAAAATACCGACTATCATCGAATTACTTATATCTACTTTGATTGTGTTTAGCAAAAGTTGGACCCTCTGACAGAAAAGTGAGTTACGGTCATGTACAAAAAAAGTTAAACGGATCAACTTAGTCAAACAGGTCCATAGAATTAGCCGCGAGTGGAAGCAGACGCGTATAGAAAACATTTCTTTATCATTCATGATTCAAGGGCCAAATCTAGGATGCGTGAAATACCTATGTCTAATAGGTGCATCGAATTACCCTGGTTGGGAGCGTATAAATATACCAACATAAAAAAATTGAGATTTTCCCTACTCCTCCCTCCTCAAGAGATGTTTCAAAAGTGATCAGGATCCTCTGAAACATCAAAAAACGAAGTTTAATATGTTTATATTTTTTTTACATTTTTATCCTTTTTCTCCGCCACCACTAACCCAATTTTCAGAAACAACAATACTTTTCAGTCCTTGGCATTGTAGTAACCTTGAGGAGAAAGTTGCAGCCTTTAAAAATTATAGGCTCGCCAAGTGTTAGCGGATAGACCGACAGACCGACAGACAGACTAACCGACAATAACTTCCCCGCCATGGAAATTAAAACAAACAGCATTCTCCTAGATTTCATTCTGATGATACACTTGCAGAAATTACTTACATCGCAAAATAATTTTAAAGTGTTGTATTGTAGGATGCACTTTATGCGCATATTAAAAGATGTTCACACATGAGGGAAAATAGTGAATATATCAAAAAGCACATCTGATAAATCTTTTTACTGTTTTGTTGTGTAGGAACAGAATCACTTGTAGGTCAAATAGTAAGTCATATTTATCAATACAGTATAATTCCATAAAAGTAATATGTGGAATAGAAAAAGTCAGCAGGATCATTAAGATGAGGATGGGATACCTTTGGATTATAGAGACGGTTAAAGTGCAGTGTTCGTTTACTATAAAAACGAGATGGTAAGTTAAATTGTATGTGAATTAAACAGGTTCGAAGTATTATTGAATTTTTACGAAGCTACCAAACGGTTGAAACCTGTGGAGATACATCAGACGGAAAAAAAGAAAATTGATTAGAGGGCTCATATACATGAAAACATTAGCCGTATAGCTTTTCCGGAAGAATCGCTTAAGGCAAGGGGTCACTTTTTATTTTTCAGATCCACGGGTACTTATTGTATAAATCTATTAGATAATGGAAAAAAGAATTAGGCGTAATTATATTTTAAACTTAATTCACGAATAACGCATAATAAGCACTGTGTCAAATGGTTTAGGAAGGAAAAAGGTATCAGAGCATCTTCGCCCAATGTCGACCGACCCTCCCTATTACTCATCTCGCAGCTTATGAAACAAATTCTGGGGGGACACCAGACAGATGTAACCCTAACAGACCTATTACCAAGGTACTTCTCTCTAATGTAGTTCTCTGGCGCATAATATCTCCAGCGCCCGAAGTTCGGCTGTATAGAGTTATTATTGTTGGTCATTCCAGGTTATCATCGGTCGGAAAGCGGAAGGAATTGCCAGTGGAAATGCCGCAGGGACTAACTTTTGCCGATTAAGTTCTCGTAGGACCGGGAGACTTGAGGATTATCCGTGGAGTTCATTGTTTCAAGGCACTGGCGGGGATACTAAGTTTTTCTGCTTCAAGTATAATGGATAACGTCCAGTAATTGCGAAACAAAACTCATCAATTAGATATTGTTTTTGTTAATGTGACGACGGTGATCATCATCGACTTTTTATCACCATACTACTTACGGTCCTCATCCACAATTACGTAACAGTCTTTTAAAAAACATACTTCAATCTCTTTCCTCCAACTTGATGTAAAATTAGGGCAGAGTACCCATAGGGATAAGCATGGTAAAGCTCGTATTTGATATTAGGTTCTTGTACTAATTTATATTTGTGACTCTGCTTTGCCGTGTAGATGTGTTGTCACTAGCTTCGTAAGTGATTCAAAGGGTGGTTTCAAATGCAACAAAAATCGTCTGTGCTGGTGAAACAGTTGACAACATGAACACCTAGCGGGTGCAGAAAACTGAAATTAGTAACTTTTATTACGAGTAGTAGGGAGTAACAAAAAATTCTTATCCCACTTGTATATAAGGTTCTAAATCGCTTTATCTGCTTGGGAAAGGTAAATGTAAATTATACCAACAACCATGGCTGATACGTATTCAAAGAATGTGTCTACTTCAGATCTATTGAAACTAATTGAAGAAGCAAATCGCCAATAGTTGTCGTGCTAATTAATATCCCTGATCAAAAATCAAGAAGTATTCAAAAACGTTCACCATCTGAAAGGGACAAGAGTAGCTGTTTATAATGATATGTCTTACAAAGATAGGCAGGAACAAAGAGTATTGGTAAAGCATCTCAAGCAAGCCAAAAGGCAGAACCTCAGGCAGAAATCAAGGGACACTGCTTGGAAGTCGAGGATTCTCTGTTTTCCGTACAAGATATCAATAATCTCTAGGGGAATTGTGAGAAAGGCGACCCGGAGGAGAAAGAGGAAGAGGGCAGCAAATTGGACGGGCTGATGATGAGACTAAGAGAAAGCTAAAAGCAGGCGAGTGAAGATTCACTGCAGCCCGAAGACAAGGGGTGTCTTCGCCAAACAAAATTAAGGTAACTCACAAATTTGTATCAGTGAGGTTTCGGTTCCAAGCTAGACGGATTTGCGTGTACCAAAGGATAAAATAATTATCTGACTAATGTGTTATTTTAATATTGATAAAATTTTTTCTTTTTTACAATGCTTTATTCTCCACTGCATAAGACGCAATCTGGAATTATGGCGAATTATTAAATACTCCTAAGTGCCTATATTTTAACTTTATTATGTAACATGGGAAATAATCTTTTAAAAGGTATTAACAGTAAGATAACTCAAAGTTGGTTTTAACAGAAAAGAACCACACCACAAAGCCTGTGCAGCTTGGAATATCCTTATATTTCGATACTTACTGTTAAGATTACATCATACGCACTTGGTGCAGTTTAAAGGAAGAATTGCCATCTTGTCACTTTTACTTCCTTACCTAGCATCTCAAGTGAGGATCCCATTTTCAAAATCAATTTTGCAAAATCTATTTTTCTCTATTTGTCATTTTGACTCAGTCATCCCCTGTACATAAGTTCTCTGTACATTACTGTCTACCAGGTGCAACGTAATCAATCAGAAGGGAAAACCACAGAATAATATAAAAAAAACAGCCAGTCAAGTGAACTACGAGGGCGTTTCAATAAGTGTTAGAAATGAAGTCACCATTTTTTTCCAAAAAAAATTTCATTTTTCAACGTCTCCTTTTATAAAGATACACCTTTCTCAACCTTTAATTTTTTTGCCGAAGCGGTCCAATAACTCACTGGAGTAATCGTTCTTCCTTTTTCTTAAAAATCCATGAGGATGAAGCACTTCGCACGTATTCCAAAAGTCGTCGCATGGCCCTTCCGGCCGATGGGACCGTCTTCGCCTTCTTTGGAGCAGATTTACCGGGATAAATCCACTGTTTTGATTATTACTTAGTTTCTGGTGTGGAATGATCAATCCAGGTTTCATCAACGGTGACAACTCGGTGCAAAAATCATAAAATCATTGGGATTTCGCTTAAATTGTTTGAAACACTGCTTCCAAGACAACAGCGGCAAAAAGCTAGAAACTGGTTGTTATTGACATCGCCAAGCTTTACTGCACTTATCAACGAAGAGTATCATCAGCCTAGCAATAAGATCTGGCCATGTCTATCCGAATCTTGCTAATTACCATTTCCCGCTTTCCACTATAACTAGGTTAAACAGCATAGTTGGGACAGTCGTGTTAGTGCATGGAAAATGTCCTCAGGAAAAGCCGACTAAATTTCGGTATTTAGCGAGACTAGATGCAGATACTCCGAAACTGAATATCTTATTTGGGACTGGACTGGGGAAACTGTTTAAATGTTAGAAACGTCATAACAAAAACTCATACGCGTTGATCAACTTCTTCCCTCTTTTGATAAATTATCTATTTCATACTGTAGCAAGAAATATTTGCGCTTTTCATGAATATCATTATTAGATATCCGATTATGTGATCTTGAAGGCGGTTCGCCCATAAGGTTGTCCCAATGAAAATGGAAAATACTATAGGTAAACTATAAAAGATATTCGAAGACGGTTTCTGCAGCAAGATTGATGATTCACACCTGTAAATCATTTTTAAATTACTCAAAATTTCGTAGGGTGGTGCTCAAGTTCGGACACAATATACACATATTGTTTTTATTGGAACTCTATAAACTGATATATGGAAATACCTTTCCAAGACAAGAATACATGGTTTTTGATATTCATTTGCTACTTGACCCAAGGAGTCTCGGTAGCCTGTGGTTAGCGCATTGAGCTAGCAGTCCGGGGCTCGCGCCTCGATTACTTAATTTCGAGCCATGGATGTTGTGTAAATTACGGACGTGGATGCAATATTAACGATGGGTACATCTAATCGCTGGATCTGTTTGTTATATCAGATACCAGACTTCGCTTTCCCACCACTACCACTACTAGCTACTTGGCTGCTTGTATGAAAAACTTTGAAGGAATGTGCGTGGCTTTTATTCAATATTGAATAAGACTATGAAATGTGCCAATAATATGGCGCTGCATATGCTTACATGCTAACCATTGCCTCCCCATAAGGCTTTAGCCATTTACATCACTTGAATGGAATACTTATTTGGATATTCTTAGAAGCTCAGGAAAACTCTATATTAAAACAGGCATTTTTACAGACTGATCCTTATGAGTATATCAGTTCTTTTATTTTTTCTTCACAAATATTCAGTAAAATATCGGATTTCCCATACAAAACAAAACTAACGTTTGTTTGTCCTAAAAGTTTTGTCACAAAATTCATTGAATTTAATTTTAACAAACACAAAATAATATCAAGTTGCCTTTGGCAGTTAGCATTCATTTATTTTGAAGTTTCAAGATGTCTTATAAATTCTCTCGAATATTCCAGAATGAAAACATTTGACGCAGAATCGTTTATCGAACAATAGCGGAGTTCGAGCAGGGAATACCATGTCTGAATCTCCCAAAAAGTGGAAGACCACGTGCATTTGTTGCACAGAGGTCAGAGAGATTGGTGAGAAGAGCAAAAAATCAGGTTGGAATGTCAACAAGGAGACTGGCTCGTCAATACAGATCTTCTAAGAGAACGAGATCGTTGGAATTAAGGAGGAATAATCTTAAATGTCGAAAGAGACTTAGGTGCCCCAAATACGAGTCGTATACCAAGATGCTGTCATCAACTGAAGCGGGTACACTTTGCGAATGGAAAAATCATTATTTTAGATTACGAAAAGTATTTCACTTTGAGTAATTCTGAAATAAAGGGAAGCGACGGATTTCATACGGACAACGTAGAGGAATGCTCCGACAATGTTAGGTACAAACATAAAGCAAAATTTGCAGATAAAATCCTTGTCTGGTGCGCAATTTCTAACAGGGGTGTATCCAAACCTTTTGTGGGAAAAGTGAGTGGTGAAGTTTTGGTTAGTCAGAGCTATATTGATAACTGCCTTTTAAAATTGCTTCAGTTTGTACATGAACATCATGATAATGACCATATGTTTCGGCTAGACCTAGCATCATGCCGTTACTCAAGAGATACCCAAAACTGGCTCCGACAACGTAACATACCTTTTGTTCCCAAAAACGCTAATCCTCCAAACTTGCCGCAGTCTCGCCCAATAGAGGATTTCTTGGCTCTACTGTCTAGAGAGGTTTATCAGGGAGGCTGGAAGACCAAGATGAAGAACGATTAAGACGGCGAATTTACGAAAAACTGAGAGAAACTGATCTGCATTCCATCCAGGACCTCATGCGAGACATTCGAAGAAAGTTGCGTCAAGTAGAGCAGAATGGACCACTCCACATAATTCGATAGCATGGTTTAGTTAAGTATTGAGTTATAATTTCTGACAACTAGTTAGTGTTTAAATAAATTTCATAAAAAAAAATCCGATAAATATTTTGTGCTAAAACTTTTAGGACATACGTTATGTCTGTTGAGCGTCGAAGTTGTGCAACATAATGCATGTTCAAAAATTTGAAAATAGACTTGCACCTAAAACTGATTCCGAATGCATTTTATAGTTTTTCCACCAAGTTCTATTTTGGAAAACTCGCTATATACAGGGTGTTCGTTAATGCTATGCAAATATCTAAGGTGTTAATCTACATGAAAAATTATTGTTAGTTTGCTCTATAAACTATGGTCCAAAAATGTTTCCTTACAAAAACTCGGGGTGTTGAAGTTTAAGAAAAAAAATGGCAATTAATTAATATTTCCAGTACTGCTTCAGATATTTCACGGATATTTAGTACGTAGTGAAAGTTAATAAAGTTGCATATTTTTCAATGCAAAAATAATTTTTAGCTTCAACAGTGACGTGCGTACTGGTATTGACTTACGATAATTTTTAAGAAAAAAATGATGCACCAATGGTTTTTTGCCAAATAAACATTATTTCTAAATTCCCCGTTCAATTGAAAACAAATGATCTCTCTTGAGTTGTTTTCCTTTGATGCGTCATTTTTGAGTAAAAAAATAAAAACCGTTCTTTTGTCCGAGAAAATTAATGTAATAATTGAAGAATGCAATTTAGCAATAAATATCTAGTTGCTCTGGAATATGTCACTGGCTTTTGAGATCTGACAAGTCTCTGTTATTCAAATCTGTTCGCTGTGACATCTTTTTCATTATTTAGTTTTTACAATCTTGTTAATAATGGTGAATTAATCAAATGCAAAAATGGCGGAAATATACTAAGTGACATATAAATCCGAACACCCAGTTTAAATGGTTTTATTTTAATAAAATTTTGTATAAGTACTTAATGAAGCATAATAAGTAAATGATAAAAATTTCAAAATGATTGCACTGCTTTAAAGCCCGTTGACCTTTAATAATGTGTGGATGCACCCTGATGTGCTACGCATTCTCCAACGCGCCTAGGCATGCTTCTGATCAGGTGGTCAATGTCCTCCTGTGATATCTCATTCCAGGCAACCACCAACTTCTCTCGAAGTGCTTCTAGTGTCTGAGGAGGACGTTGCAAAGTGAGCAATCTCCTACCCATCATATCCCACACGTGCTCAATTGGGGATAAGTCGGGAGACCTTGGTGGCCATGGTAACAATGTGACATCATTATGTTGAAAGAAGTCTATTGTGACTCTTGCAACATGTGGTCGGGCATTATCTTGTTGGAAAGTTGGATCTGCCAGGGTGTCAAGATAGGGTAAAAGATGGGGTTCTAGAACTTCGTGGATATAACGCTGCGCGTTCATGTTACCTCTGATGAAGATTAAAGGTGACCTGGATCCATAAGCTATAGCACCCCAAACCATAACTCCAACAGTGTGACGAACATGTCTTTCAACAAAAAACTGTGGATTCCTCCTTTCACCACGTCGCCTTCTAACCCTGGCACGACCATCGTGCATGCCTAAACAAAATCGAGACTCGTCACTAAAGACAATACTGTTCATTCCTGATCCCAGAGTGACCGTTGTCTGCACCACTCAAGGCGATTACGTCGGTGTTCTCGAGTTA